TTGCTTATTTAAAATGATTGAAACTAAGATAAAACGTTCTTGGTAACTAAATTGGTTGTTACAGTGACAAATTTCAGCTGTGTTGTGATGAATCGTTAAGTGTGGCATACGAAAAATAAGTTTATTGTATTATTAAATTTGACCATAAACAATTTTAGGAAGAGAAGGAGGAGGAGGAGGAGGAGGAGGAAAATATCACTTGTTGATTAGGAGAATAATAATAATAAATCGGTAAATGATTGAGACTAAGACAAAACGTTCTTAGTATCTAAATTGGTTGTTACAGTGACAAATTTCAGCTGTGTTGTGATGAATTGTTAAGTATGGCCATACAGAAAATACTTTTCTAGTATTATTAAATCTGATCATAAACAATTTTTGATTAATGTATAGGTTTGAAGAGGAAGGAGGAGAAAGAGGAAGAAGAGGAAAAATATTGCTTGTTGATTAGGAGAATAATAATAAATCACTAATTGATTGAAACTAAGATAAAACGTTCTTAGTATCTAAATTGGTTGTTACAGTGACAAATCTCAGATGTGTCGTGATGAATTGCTAAGTGTGGAATACAGAAAATACGTTTCTAGTATTATTATATTTATATATTTTTTTCTTTTTCTTCTTCTTCTTCTTCCTCCTCCTCCTCCTCCTTCTCTCTTATCCTATGCACAAATAATGCACAAACAATTTTTGATTTATGCATAGGTTAAGAGAGTAGGAAGAGGATGAGGAAAAACAATCACTTGTTGATTAGGAGAATAATAATAAATCACTAATTCATTAAGCATTAGAAAAACTATGTGGATTATACAAATTAATCACTAAACTCAATCAGTATTTTGTTAATTAATTACTCAGTGGAGCTCAAAAAGCATTGATTAATTACTAAGGATGATGTAGGGGAGAGAAAAAAAAACAAATAAAAAAAATTGCAGGAACTGATTCATTACGGAAAAAGCCTCGAAATAGCATTTTTGTTAGAATAAGGTACAAATTGATTGTGTAAATAATTCTAGCTTTACTCAGATGGTTGTGACTTTTGCCTTTCTTGGAAGAGAGAACTAAATACGAGGGATTATCAGACACAGTCAAAGCTATTTGATCTGTCAATAAGGGATTAAAGTTAATCCGCGAATAGCGGATAATAGTGCGGAGTTTGTCAGGTCGTGTTGGTGTAACCATTAGTTATCTTAGATCCTGTACACCTTCTGATTCTCTCTGATTATTTTTATAAATGATTTCTAGATACCTACTTTAAGTGGAAAAATGGAATTTTGAATCTATTTTTGTCCCTTTCCATCCGGGAGAAGATGGGAAAAATCTTTTTTTTTTTTTTTTTTTAAGACTTAAAAATTACAGTAGAGAAGCTTCTAAAATGATTTTTGAGCTCTTCAATATTCGAAATTTACGGAAAAAATATTAACTTAACGATTAAAATAATAGTCTAATAATTATATCTAAATATATAAAATTGCTTGTCCTGACTGACTCACTCATTCATTCACTGATTCATCATCGCCCAGAGCAAACCGCTTAACCTAAAGAGGTGAAATTTGGTACACAGTTAGGGTACGTCATGGAAACGCACACTAAGAAAGGATTTTTCGAAATTCCAACGCGGGGGGGTGAGGGGGAGCATTAAGTCTTAACCGGAAAAACGGCTTCTACTGCGCTATTTTAGATGCGATTTTTTGTTTNAAAATGTTGAGTTTACGAACAATTTCGCATTATTATTAATGTATATTTTGGCGTTATTTTATTAATTATATTTATAAATATTCTTTTGTTTATTTTCCTTTATTATTTATTATTTTTTTCGTGTGGTTAAATTTCACTAAGCATTTTAAAACGCCCATTAACGAATTTAAAAATTCAAATATGCCGTTAAACCAATCGCGTCCGTTCACCTATCGACGTCATCCGATTATAAACCAATCGGATGCCAGGTTTAAAAAAAGAAAAGAAAAAAAAAGAGTAGCGGAATACGGAGCGATGTCGTTTAATCATGCCGAAAACGCTTTAAAATAAAGTCGAGCGGAGCATTTTATGTACAATCGTAAACTGTACATAAATTATACAAACGAAATTCGGTATAAAAGCGTTTATATTAAAAAAAATCAAACAAGATATAGACAATGTAATTGATACGCTCTATTTATTACAACGGCTAAATGGATCATAAAAAAAAAAGAGGGAGGAGGAGAAACGCATGCGCCGGTGTTCAAAACCATTCTTTTGTCAGTGTATTTCCCCAACTGAGAAAGCGGTAACAATATACTTTTATTAAACACCGGGGGAAATTAATTAAAACGAGGGGTCTGGTAGTCATAGTAACGATGTTTATACGGCCGAGGGATGGGGAGCTATGTCAACAGCATCTATCTGTGCGAAGGTTGTTTTCTTAGTCCTGTCCAGATCAAACAGGCTTGGAGCGACGGATGAAGACGTTCATAAGCCGGGATCTAGTGTAAACACAGAGAGGGGGGACACACGAAGCTGATTGTCTCCATAGCAACGGACTGTAAACTCACCATCGGAGAGATGGATGACGATGTCACCTGGCTAAGGAGACCGCCGGATTAATCCGTATCTTTTTTTTCTCTCCCCCCCCGGTCTTTTCTCAGATTGTCGATCGCGTGCGTTTATGGAAGGGAAGGGTGTGGTTGGTGCGAGTCTCACCTGCCCCATCGGCAGTAAGCAGAGTCGATTAGTGGCTCTGCCACACGCAATTCACCTCAAATTGTCAACCGACATGCGACATCCACGCACCTAAAGTCGGTATCAATACGATAAGTCACTTATAGGTGGATCTGTAGTCGTTCAATCGCATGGCTGTCGACGAGGAGTGGAAACTATGATTTATTGACATCCAGGGATCTACAAACCGTCGATCACACGCAGTTCTTTCCACCGTTTTTTCCCGCCGTTTTCGCAATTCGCACGTACAGTACACTGTACGGTTCGGTAGGTGACGTCATACGAGCGGCCGTTCAATCCGTCGCGTTGTAGTACTGTACTTCGGCGCGATGCACGCGACAATCCGATACACCTGTCTACATTCCAGAATAAGTGCTTTTGTGTAACGTTGCAATTTTTTGGTCCCTTTTTTCTCTCTCTCTAGTCTTCCTCAAAATGAAATAACTTCTATCTAAATGTTTACACACCGGACAAGTGAGAGTTGGATAAAATAAAAACCGTAACTTTTTCGCCATTTTTGTTAGTGTTCCTATTGTTAAAAGATGTATTTCCATCCAAAAAGAAAGAAAGAAAAGAAAAAAACTTTCATTTTCTACCACACTTTTGTACTCGTTTAACGCGGTAAGCACGTAGACCTCGTTAACAATTTTACTAGCAAAAGGTTTTCGAAATTTATTAATTATGAGGTAAACCCGTATTTTCTTCGAATTTATATTTTATTCATTTTGGCTATTAGCGTGAGGTACGGTCGCTTATAAATATTACAGATAAATTCCCCTTTAATTGAGTAACTTAAAAATGACTTGTCAAAATGAACGCAACCCAAAACATAATTTAGAGGCACGAAACCTCGTCTCTTCTAAGCAACGTTTGTGTGGAATTAAATCACATCGGTAAAATGCCAACAAAATTGACTTTTTTTAAAAGCATTTTTCCATATTTTTATACTCGGTTGAACTAATTTAAATAAATAAAAAAAATGTCTGGTGAGGAGGAGGAGAAACGATACTAAGTTGATGAGCTGTTAAATAGATTAGAAAGCCGACTAATTTATAAATAGGAAAACCTGACTTAAAAATTTTCTATAAAAATAATATATAATTAATATAATTAATAATAATTAACAAATTAAGTAATTGTGAAGAAATGATGCGGGTGGACAGGTAAGCGTATAGGTATCAAGAAATGACTCAACCTAACGGTATTGATTGCCGTCTATAGCAATGTGGGGGATGAAAAGAGATCCCACGCTTGTCACGACAAATCCCACGTGTAATCATGTGATGCGGGGCGGGTCTACTAGAAGAAATTGTGATCGATCACATACAAGGGTCGGGCAGTAGATAGTTGCCCTGCTGACAACAACAACAAAAAAAGAGTGACAACATAAATTGGAAATGATGTACTGTAACATCGTCTTGGAATATTTCTGATCAAAAACCCGAAAACCTTTATCAAAATGTAAGTTATTTCATAACTAATCAAAAGACGAGTTTCTTCTTAACCGCGTAAAGCCCGACAATAACTCTGTCTTGGCAAATTACATCCTACTTTTGGCTTTTAGTAGCGCAATACGTTCCCATTAAAAAGTGCACCGGTGAAAAGTTTGGTTACAGGATAGCGAAACCTCATTAAACTGTCAATAAAACCATCTGGACGGTCAGTACATATATAAGTTGGTGGTTGCTTCTTCTTTTTTCCTATTATTATTATTATTTTTTTTTTATACAATGATTTAATATTTCAACCCCACCTCAGACACCATTTCCTAATGAATATTTTATTATTAAACTTATTTACTACGCGTACAGAATACTAATTTGTTTTTATCTCTCAAATATTTATAAATTATTCGTATCTATGAGAAAAATCCATACGTGCATCATCGTATTATTATTATTATTATTATTTTTCGTTAAAATATAATAACATATAGAAAAATTTTTAAACTATTTATTAAAAATATATCATCTCGACTATTCGTTTTAATTAATTAAATTAAAGGAACGAATATATTTTTTTTCCCTCAATTTCTTAATTACCATTAAGTTCTAGAATAATTATAATTAAGAAATTTACAATATAAACAATTATTTTTTTATTAAAAAAAACGAATAGTTAGAATAGTTATAAAATTAATTAATTAATTATTTTGTTTATATAGAAAAATTTCTTCCAGGAAATTACAAATTGTAAGAAGTTGCGCGCGCGGGAGTTGCATTTTTATTTATTTATTTTATTTTATTTTATTTTATTTTATTTTTTGGAGGGTTTAAAAAAATATATAATAATTGTCAACTTACATTGTATGAAAATAGCACATGCCACGAAGTATGCCCACATTTTTGAATCTGCTATCCTGGTGATGCCCGTCACCGTTCAACACACAACTAAGCTAGCTTGTCTGTACTACGTTGTGACAGACTTCCAAACATGTACTTTACAACTAACAGCAGCGCCATCAAGTGAGAGAATTGCTTATTACTTTCTGCCTTCTTCTGTACTTTAACAGAGCAATTGATCACACACACACACATACACATATATATAAAATCCCCAAATTAAGCTTTCGGGATTTTTTTCTTGATTTTTTTTCTCCCCTTAATAAGAAAGAAAATTAATAATTTTTTTTTCTTTACTTCTTTAAACATTTAAAAAAATTATATTTATTAATTTCGAATTTAACCGTAATAATAAAATTTTTTGGTAATAAATAATGTAAATTTATTTTTTAACTCCTTGATAAATTTGTCTGTTTGGAGATGAATAATGTAAAATGCTTTTCTTTTTTTTTTCTTTCTTTATGTAGTTAAATGAAGTGTAATTTTATTTTTATTGTGGGTAATTATATGAGGTACGAATCTAATTATTGACATATGACTCATCAAAACCATCGTGTTTGGTGAAATCTGACTCATAAATGCACGAACATTAGTGTGTATGAATAATATTAATCGATAAACTAATGAATAATACGTAATAAAAATAATAAATTAACTCAATAAAACTATAATGGATTCATAGAAATTTAAAGATTTTAATTTATTTATAATTATTCTATCATTATAGTTATGATACATCAGAATAAATTCATGTTTTATTCATTTAAAATAAGTAAAAATCTTTAATTTTATCTGATTTCTAACGAGATATTCATCTATAAAATCTTGTTTTTCTTTTATTTTTAGAAGAAGAATCTTATTTAAAACTGCAAATTTTTAACAATAAAAATTATTTTAAATAAGTCGAAAGAATTTCGAAGTTATTTATTAAATAAAATTTACGATAATATTTGATATAAAGTATAAATATACATTTGTGTGTGTATATAGAATGTGTCTTTCAAATGAAATATTTAATGATAAAATAAAATTTTATATTTACAACTGGCTACAAGAATTTTATGAGTAAAGTATGAATAAATTGAAAATGCGTTTAGCTTTGTTTACATTTTAAAGTTAAACAAAATAGTTTTAGCATTTAAAATATTTAAAGAAGACGTAAAAGCTAAGTGAAAAATTGTAAAATAATTTAAATGCCATTTATGAAAATTCTTTAATACAAAATAAAAATATGCCTTGAGAATAATGTAAGGTATAGAATATAATAGTGATGATCATTTCCATCAAAGATGCTGATTGGATAACGTGATTAGATAAAAGGTTATACTCTTGAGATAATTAAGACTTCAACTAACAAATCAGAAATAGATCCATTAATTAATATACATAAATCTAAGATGGAAATTCGATACAAAATTTCCTTTGGGTATTTCTCTAACTTCTGATCTTCACCTTTCTTTTTTTTTTCTAAAAATATTAATTGAAAATGTTGAAATGTTTAATGCATCAAAGTGATATTTATAATCCTTTCATTAGTTGAGATAAATGTGTTAATTATCGTGTATAATATTTTAAAAAAAAAACCACTTAAATTTTAAAATTTTAAATGTATTATATAATTTACTCTTTAATAAAAATTTTTCTTCCATTAAAAAATTAATTTCGTTAAAAAAAAATAAATAAATAAAAATAAAAATAAATTTTAATTAATGAGCCGTGCCCCTGACAATCAGGTTTTTCCGCAAGGTTCATCAATCTAGCAGTGAAGCATCTACATTGTTGTTCTTATTGTTTTTTTTTATTTTTAAAATAAACAATCTTCTGTAATTGTAAAACCAGTAAAAATATTTTACGCGATAATGTTTAGAATTTTAATAATGTAAAAGCAACATAATGTATTCCGAAAATAGATTTAAAAAAAAATAAAAAGCTTCGGTAATCCCTTCTCGAAATTTTCATGCAGTAAACATCAGAGTAGTACTTTAAATACTCTATTAAAATATTATTTATTAANTAGGCAATAAAATTCTTTAGATATTAAATCTTTCGTTACATGAAATAATTCTGTATTGATGTCTATCATTTATTTATGTAAAAGAAAATAAAAGAATTCATTTCTTCTTCGTGCTCGGATTGCTAATATAGCTAATTAAGGTTCCTAATTACTGTATTGAATTAACTGCCTACTCATTGTAAGATATACTATGCCTAAGGAAGAAAAAGTAATTTCCAGCCTAATGATCAGTTTTTACTATGATCGAAAGTTCAGCAATAGAGAAAAAAATTTCATCGTACAACGATTTTTTTTAAAGGAGATTTATTAAGATGCAATTTTTCAAATTAGAAAATTGGATAAAGTGAAAAAGATAACACATTTACTCTACATCACATAAATTGTCATAGCAAGCGCTGTTACAATCACACACACGAACATTCAGAAATTATGCCATGTGCCCCTGTTAATCACGCTTTTCCTGGTGATTGCGAGTCGAGCAGTAAAGGTTTTTATTCATTTTTTTCCCCTCCCTCCCTTCCTCCACCTTTTAATTAAAAATTAGTTAAGTAACGCCGTGTATTTTGTAAATACTCTAATTATTATATAATGACAGAAGAACTTAAGAAAGTTTACTTGAGAATAAAGAAAAACATTTGAAAAGTTGGGTTTAGCTAACGAAAGTCTGGAATAAATTCAAGGAGTTCAGTAAGTATTGAAGAAAGTAAGTCACATTTTGTTGAACGTATATTGCTTACAAGTAAAGTGCCTCTTCACATTTTTAGTTATCTACTGATTAGAAGCAGTAAACAGTTAATAAAATCTTGTTTGTACGAATCTAATTATTGACATATGACTCATCAAAACCATCGTGTTTGGTGAAAACTGACTCATAAATGCACGAACATTAGTGTGTATGAATAATATTAATCGATAAACTAATGAATAATACGTAATAAAAATAATAAATTAACTCAATAAAACTATAATGGATTCATAGAAATTTAAAGATTTTAATTTATTTATAATTATTCTATCATTATAGTTATGATACATCAGAATAAATTCATGTTTTATTCATTTAAAATAAGTAAAAATCTTTAATTTTATCTGATTTCTAACGAGATATTCATCTATAAAATCTTGTTTTTCTTTTATTTTTAGAAGAAGAATCTTATTTAAAACTGCAAATTTTTAACAATAAAAATTATTTTAAATAAGTCGAAAGAATTTCGAAGTTATTTATTAAATAAAATTTACGATAATATTTGATATAAAGTATAAATATACATTTGTGTGTGTATATAGAATGTGTCTTTCAAATGAAATATTTAATGATAAAATAAAATTTTATATTTACAACTGGCTACAAGAATTTTATGAGTAAAGTATGAATAAATTGAAAATGCGTTTAGCTTTGTTTACATTTTAAAGTTAAACAAAATAGTTTTAGCATTTAAAATATTTAAAGAAGACGTAAAAGCTAAGTGAAAAATTGTAAAATAATTTAAATGCCATTTATGAAAATTCTTTAATACAAAATAAAAATATGCCTTGAGAATAATGTAAGGTATAGAATATAATAGTGATGATCATTTCCATCAAAGATGCTGATTGGATAACGTGATTAGATAAAAGGTTATACTCTTGAGATAATTAAGACTTCAACTAACAAATCAGAAATAGATCCATTAATTAATATACATAAATCTAAGATGGAAATTCGATACAAAATTTCCTTTGGGTATTTCTCTAACTTCTGATCTTCACCTTTCTTTTTTTTTTCTAAAAATATTAATTGAAAATGTTGAAATGTTTAATGCATCAAAGTGATATTTATAATCCTTTCATTAGTTGAGATAAATGTGTTAATTATCGTGTATAATATTTTAAAAAAAAAACCACTTAAATTTTAAAATTTTAAATGTATTATATAATTTACTCTTTAATAAAAATTTTTCTTCCATTAAAAAATTAATTTCGTTAAAAAAAAATAAATAAATAAAAATAAAAATAAATTTTAATTAATGAGCCGTGCCCCTGACAATCAGGTTTTTCCGCAAGGTTCATCAATCTAGCAGTGAAGCATCTACATTGTTGTTCTTATTGTTTTTTTTTATTTTTAAAATAAACAATCTTCTGTAATTGTAAAACCAGTAAAAATATTTTACGCGATAATGTTTAGAATTTTAATAATGTAAAAGCAACATAATGTATTCCGAAAATAGATTTAAAAAAAAATAAAAAGCTTCGGTAATCCCTTCTCGAAATTTTCATGCAGTAAACATCAGAGTAGTACTTTAAATACTCTATTAAAATATTATTTATTAATAAANGAACACAAGAAAAATAGAGTAAAAATTCAAGAAAACGAGGAAAATAGGGGAAAAATTAAATAAAAAAAAACCAAGAAAACAAACTAATTTAGCAGATAAATAGGCGTTTTATAGAAGCAAAATAATCGATGATTAATCTATACTCAAATCGATATCTAGAAACACGTAGAATTTAATTAATCGATCAACAAATATTAGCTAAAACTGAAACTTTAGTTTTACTTAATCCGGGATTAGAACGTATTTAATCCTGCAGCATCGAGTTAATTGATTAGTTAATAAAACTTGGGATACATCCCGAAGACAAACTTAGATAATTAATTTACATAAAAATCTTATTATTATTATTAGCCAAGGTAAAAAAAAAAAAACTTAATCTTATACTTAGAAAATATAAGTAAAGCGCATTTAGTGTCCTGTATTTTTGACAAAGACAGTAGACAAGCGAAAGCTTAACTGGAAACGTGAGTTGATTCAGAAGTGGGAGGAGTGAATCACAAAAAATCAATCTGTCAGAGAGGCCATTAGGACAGCAGATTTAACGAACCTCTGAAAGGATATATATCACAGGACAATACATCCTGCTGCCCGTCTTGTTGGCGTTAGTCCACTTTAAATTCCATCTGCGAACAACAGGTATTGGATAGAGTATTAAGAGAACAATCTGAAAAATAACATTATCGCTATAACTTGTTTTTTTTCCCTATACTTTAAAC